AAGAAGGGAAAGAGAGAGAAAACGAATATGTATCTCTTTAAAAAGGGCCTCCCATATGTCTCTATTGTCTTGGTAGACAAAGTGGACAGCAGGTTACAGATTTAAATTGATTAGTCTCAGCAAGTCAGCTATAGTCCACTGAGATGATTAGGGCTAATTTCTGGTAGCAAGGCCCAAGTTTTGGTCCCTGGCCTCCTGCAGGATTGAACTCTGCAAGGTTCTACTGCAGGTTTTAGCTGTCCTTCCCCCTAAGCAAGTCCGGATTTCTATGGGAGGTGCTGATCCCACCAACTTACCAACTGCAGTGGTCCAGTGTGCCTTTATTGCAGACATTTTCTTCACTTTTCCAGTGGGCTTCAATTTTCATTGATAGCCTCACTTCTACTCTATCTTCTAGAGCTCATATCCATGGCCTTTATGCCACCCCACCCCTGCACCTCTGCAGTGTGGATTGAAATGGCCCACATGGTATGCTCCAGGGTGCATTGGCATCCATGGGATGTGTTTGCCAGACAGTTCCACCATATTTGCCTTTGATTTGTCAGTGGGAAGGGGGAGTAGGCATGCATGTGTACATGATGGTAGGAATAGAACACAAAGGTGCTCAACCCCCAGTTCTTTTATTTTTCTGTTCTACAAAGGGGTTTCTCTGGGTTGTTCATTCAACCCTTGGCCTCCTGGGTGACTGGGACTGCAGGCTTGCACCACTATGTCTGCCATTTTTTTTCCTGTCTTCACTTTCTACTTTTGTTCATCTTTCTTTTCAATTTTTCAAACATTCTAATTTTTTTGTTTCTTTTCTCACATTGTCTTCCCTCTTAATTAACTGGGGTTTTTTTTAATCTTTAAAACCTCTTGGGTTTATACTTTTTTCAGGCCCTACCATTGCTGTAGGAGTTATTGTTAAGGATGTAGATGTCATAGTACAATACAGGGTTTTTACCCTGATGCTGAGGTACAAATCCAGCACAGATAAAACCTTACCCCAAGTACAACCCAACTCCATTGAAACTTTGGTCAACACTTTAATTCAAAGAATAACATACATAAAATTCCCCAGGTGATGACTAGGCCCAAAGTAGCCACCGCCTGGTGGTGAAGACATGCTTCTGGGCATCCACCAAAAGAACAACTACAGAAAAACAACACAAATACCATGGACAGCACACCCACAAGAGGCCTCACTACCAGTCACTTCCATACCCTTTAAGCAGGTATATTGTTGCAAATTCTCTCTCTGGTGTGAAAAACTAAAAGTGTAAATAAGGACCAAAATGTACAATAGATAATGTGAAATAGGAAGCAAAGTTTCAAAGAGGAAGGGAAAGTAGGGTATGTGGAGGAAAGGAAAGAAAGAAATATGAGAAAAGAAGGAAAAAACAGAAACAAAGCTTTTATAAATAGGGAGAGTTGGAGGGATAAAAGGGAGGGAAGAGGAATGGGGAAAAAAAACTAAGATGTAGCATGTGCAGGTATAAATTCCAATGATGAATGCGATCTTAATATATACCTAAAGTGTACCAATGAAGTTAACTTGACAAGACTAGAGGAGTGATCACAGGGAGTGTAACACAAATATTTCATGGTCTACAGCACTATTTCCCAAATCAATAAAAGGACCTCACATTGTGAAACCTTCATGTCAAAATATTTTAAGTACTAGCAAAGAAGTGACAAGAAAACCTTGGAAATACAGTGAACATAACAAATTCAATCACCAAGGACACTGTTAGGGAAGGCTGTTCCCTTAAAAAGGCCCTCACATGCAAGTGGAAGACAGATCCATCCCAAGAGATGTACAAATCTCAATACAGAAACACAAGAAACACGAAAAGAACACAATATGACACTTCCAAAATTTAATATCTCTACAGTAACTGACCTAGACATCAAAGTAGATAAAATGCCACACAAAGAATATTCACAAATGATCAACAAACTCAAAGAAGATACAAATAAATATCAGAATTACAAAGGAAGGCAATGCAGGATATGAAACAATACACTGATAATTAGATTTTGAAAAAACAATCAGACAGAATTCTGAAAACGAAAATCCCAATAAACTAAATAAAAAATTCAGTGTAAAGCCTACCCAACAGGCTTGATTAAGCAGAAGAAAAAAACTGAGGGTCTGAAGAAAAAGTTGGAAAAATATTGCATTTAGACAACAATAAATATATCTATATCTGTGTATATTCAAAAGAATAGAAAAAGATATTTCATGCCAAATGAATCTGAAAACAAGCAGGATTAGTCATTATGTATTGGTAAGAGAACAATTCACCAAGAAGACATAACTATTGCAAACCTACACATGGAACATTGGTGCACTCAATTTCATAAAGCAAACAGTACTCATTCCTTTTTCTTTCTTTCCTTCCTTCCCTCTTGCCCTCTAACCTTCATTACTTTCTACCTTCCCTCCTTCCTTCACTTTTCTACAGTGTCTAAAATATATCAAGTACCAAGAGAGGCATAAAACAAAATAAAGAAAAAATAAATTTGATTTCTAACTTTATAGTTTAATGGGAAATACATAATTATATAGTCACAAAAGTATATGTATAATTGCTACTAGATATATGGTCAATGAAGGAAAGTTCCATCATGTTAGGAGAGATGTAACACAAGGGAAAGGGGGCTATTCAGAACAGACTAAGGTCTGAAAGGTGAGTGGCAATTAAATAAATCAAGAGGAGCAAAAAGCATTATGAGCAAAGAATGGGGCATGTGCAAAAACAGAACAGCAAAGGCCCTATGGTAGGAATGGGCATAGCCTATTTCAGATTCTGAAGAATATACTTCAGATCTTGTGAAGCTCTGGTGATTTAGTAACAAAAGAAAAAATACAGGATTCTAGGTCCACTTTAATTTCAGATAAGTAATGAATAATTGCTTGAGCACACTTATAATTAAAGTAGTGGATGATTTAAATACCCCATTTTCACAAATAGGTCATCTAGATAAAAAATTAACAAGTGGGAATTAAACCATATTACAGGCTAAATGGACTTAAAAGATGCCTACAGAGTATTTCATCCAACAACAGCAGAATACACATTTTCAGTAGCTTATGAAACTTTCCCCAAAATGAACCATATTAGTCTGCACAGCAAGTCTTAAATATAAAAAATTGAAATAATCTCATCCTATCAGATCACAATGAAATGAAAGTATAAGAGAAACTACTACAAGAGAAAATACAGAAACTACAAAATGAAGACTTGATAAAATACTTTAACCTACAGTGGGTCACTGAAGAAACTGTGGGAAATTTAAAACACCTTAAATGAAATAATACTGGAAACAAAATATACTAGAATCTGTAGGACATAGTGAAGACAGTTCTAAGAGGGAAACATAACTATGAGTGCCTACATTGGAAAAACAGGACAATCTCAAGTAAATAGCCCAATGATGCATATCAAGGTCCAAAAAAAAAGTCATACCCAAAACCACTAGAAACAAATAAATAATAAAGATCAGAGCTGAAATTAATGAAATAGAAACTAAAAGAACAATATGAAGGATTCATTAATTGAAGAATTGGTTCTTTGAAAAGATAAGATGACAAACTATTGGTCAAACTAACCAAAAGAAAAAGAAGATTCAAATTAATAAAATTAGAAGCAAAAAGTTGATATTACAAGAGATACCACTGAAATCCAGAGGAGTATTAAAAACTACTTTGAAAACTTTTATTCCAACAAATTAGATAATATAGAATAAATAAATAGACTTCTAGGTATATATAGCTACCAAAAATGAACCAAGAAGATATAAAATCTTCTAAATAGATCAATAATAAGCAAAGAAACTGAAGCAGTAATAAAAGGTCTCTCAACAAAAAGAAACCCAGGACTAATTTATTGGACAAATTTATTGCTGAATTTTTCTAGACTTTTAAAGAACTGTCACTGTTGCTCTTCAAATTATTCCATGACATAGAAATGGAAGGAAGACTTCTAAATTCATTCTACAAAACCAGTATCACACTGACAGCAAATCCAGATAAAGACTCAAAAAGAAGGGAAGAGAAATGGGGAGGAAAAGAGGGGAGATGAAAACAAAATCATATCATATGCAAGAAAATGAGTGGAACTGGATGCCATCACATTACGTGAAATAAACCGGACTAAGAAAGACAAATATCACATTTCCTCTCCATAGGCGGGGGCGGGGGGGATGAAATTAGAAGAAAGATTATTAAAGAAGACAAAAAGATTGTAAAATGGGGGAGGACAGGGAAGGTGAAGGGGGAACTCATCAAAGCATATTATATGCATTTATGAAGATGCCAAAAGGAAAACCACTAGTCTATAAAGTAATATGCATTAACTTAAGAAATCAAGTAGCAATTGGCTATATGATCCTGGACAACAGATTTTTGATATGAAGACCAAATTGGTTATGCAAATTGTTTTTATTATTGCAAGAAAAAAAAAACATAGAAATCATCTAGTCCAGTCTGTATCCAAAGCATATATTACCACTGACCTTTTCTGGCTTTGACTTAATTACCTAGCCTCGTTAACTACTTTATTACTATATTCTATTATCAAATTACCCTAGTCATTACAAAGTATGATATTTAATCAAAATGCATCTCCCTTTAACTGTTATGCATTGATTTTACTTTTCTGCACATGCACCATGCTACAGAATTTGCAGGTGGGATCCGGACACTCAAGTTTTCCAAAAGTAATGAAATAAATTGACTTTATTTTAAAAAGACTGAAAAGAGGTGGACTTAAATGAAGGAAATAACAGTTGAGCAGGGTGATTGGGAAGTACTGATATTTAACACTAGAAAGCTTTAGAGTTTTCAAGGTCCTTAACAAGATTTACCTTAGTAAGTGATTCAAGTTTCCTCCACAAAAATCAATGTTTAAGTAATTACAAGGTAGAAGGAGGGGTGTGGAGAAAGACAGAATGAAAATTGTACTGAGTTTTTCAGACATAATATAATAGAAAAAAGAGGATTCTTAGAGACTCACATATTTTCATAGAACTGCTGCCATTTGATAAGGCCATCCTTAATAATTTGCAATTTCTCCTTTGTAGTCTCTTCAGTTTGTTCCACATCCTGTTTAAATTTGTTCAGTAAGTTTCTCCATTTGTGTGTCAATTTCTGCAACAATGCAAGGTCTGTGGTATCCTAAAATGCATAAAATCAATTTACTTATTCATATAACAAATATTCATTAACATACAACAGACCATATATACATTAGCAATACTGCAAAACTAGAGAAATACATAGGCAATAAATCCAAAAAAATTAGAAGATATTACTTTTTCAAAATATCAATGACACATTTGTTTGGTGATGGATTTCCTTTTTTGTTTGTTTGGGCTTTTTGTTTTTGTTTTTGTTTTTTGAGAAAGGGTCTCACTATGTAGTTGAGACTGACCTGGAACTCACTATGTAGCCCAGGCTGGTCATGAACTCACAGTAATCCTCCTGCCTCAGCCTCCCAAATGCTGGGATTACAGGTGTGAGCCACCATGCCTGGCTGGTGATGGATTTTCAATGACACATAAAGTATCAAGGAGAAGATTTTTTTCCCCATGAACCTAATTTTCCTATAAGACTTTCACAGGGACAGTAGAATACATTGGAAAGAACAGAAACCATGAAACCAGACAGAACTGAATATGAATCCTACACATTTACTGGATGTTAACCTTGGCTAGCATTTATTTTACTTGAAGTTAATTTTTATTATTCATAAAATGAAGTCACCAATACATATTTTAAATAATTGTTTTAAGAGTTAAATTAAAATGATTGATATAAATGGTTTGAGTAGAGACACAAACGCCAGCTCTTTTTCTCCCTACTGTACTCACTGATTTTCTCATAAAATTGCATAGAATACATTGATAATACAACTATTTCAATAAATAAAGCTACTTACTTTTATTTTATTATAAGTATAAATAAACAGGAATTTGAATAGCTGTAGAATTATAAAACAAATTGTTTTAATTACAATGTAATACAAGTCTAAGAAAATGAGAGGCTTTATTTATTTTTCTTAGATTTTTTTTTCATTCTGCCCAAAATAAAACACAAATACAAAACTATACTTAAAATTTATACACTTAGCAAAGCAAATCCTAATTGTCTGACAACTCAATACTTGGAGTCTTTTCTCTCATTACTTAAGTAAGGTGAGCCTTACTTTGTTTGACAGCAATGTGATGAAATGCTTAGTATATTTATTCCAGCTTTTTTCATTGAGGTAGAGCCTCTTAGCCAATATGACTCCATTTCTTTCAATTACCTATAAAAATAATGTACTCTAATCAGGAACCAATACCATTAACAAACCGCTATAATTTATTATAGTTATTTCAAAGTCAATCTTTCATGAATAATTATGTCAACCAAAATTTCTTATTTAATCATTAATGTGTATCACAAATTCACATTTTCTAAAACCACAGAACTGGAACAAAACTGAAATAGTGTACATAGCAAATGTTCTAAATAATTTTATCTCAAGATACTTTAACATTGTTAAAAATTACTGAGGACTCTAAAGTGCTTTTATTTATATAGATTATATCTACTGACATTTGCTACACTAAAAGCTAAACTAAAATTATTTAAAATATGAATCTGCTAATTTACTTAAACATATTAATAAACTCATTATGTTAAAATAAATAGGGTTTTATGAAAATACAACATTTCTTGAAAAATAGTGATGAGAGGACCATTTTTTAACATTTTTACAAATATCCTTAATGCTTCTTAAAAGAATAGAGCTGGGTTCCCTTATTTGCTTCAACATTCAATCTGTTGCAATATCTCATTTAATGTAACTTCTAGAAATCTCTCCTGCATACTCATGGGTGAATGAGAGTGAAAATGAAGTAATAAATAAATCTCTTTTCCTCTTCAATGGGAATACATAGCACCTATAGATGGTACATCCTGCCCCGTTTTCCCCTTCCCCCACTCAAGCGCCCTCTCCTCCCTATTTACAAAAGCTTTGTTTCTATTTTTTCCTTCTATTTTTACTTTTCTTGTCCTCTCCTTCCTTCCTTTCTCCCTCCCTCCTCCCTTGTTTCCCTTCCCATTTGAACATTTTCTTTCCATTTCTCATTTCCCATTATCTATTATACATTTTAATCCTTATTTCCACTTTCTCGTACTAGAGAAACAATGTAGTATTTAAATAAATCTTGTTGGATTTATTTCACTTAAGAGTATGGTCTCAAGGCACAACCATTTAGCTATAAACGTTTGAAACTCATCCTTCTTTATGGCAAAGTAGTACTCCATTGTATAAAAAATACCACACTGTTTCTCTGGTGTGAGAAACTGAACGTGGAAATAAGGGCTGAGATGTATAATGGATGTTGAAAGTTGGGAAGTGTTCAAATGAGGACAAAGCAGGAGGGATGGAGAAAGAAAGGAAGGGACAAGAAAAAAGTAAAAATAGAAGGAAAAATGGAAACAACACTTTTGTACATAAGGAGGGGAGGGGGCTTGAGGGGGGAATGGATAAAATAAAACTTATTTTTTTAAAAAACACATTTCATTTATTCATTTGTTGGTTGATGGGCATTTAGGCTATTTCCATGATTTAGCTATTACAAACTGTGCTGCTAATAAACATGGGTGTGCACTTATCGCTGTGGTACGATAGTTTTCATTCTTTCAGGAAGACACCAGAAGAGGAATAGCTGGGTCAAACAGAACCTCTAGTTTTAGTTTTTTGAGGAATCTCCACACTGATCTCCACAGTAGTTGCACCAGTCTACATTCTAACCAACAGTGAAGAAGGGTTTCTTTTCCCTCAGAGTCCCTGCAGGATTTGTTATTGGTTGATTTCTTGATAGCAGCCATTCTTTCTGGAGAGAGATGGAATCTCAGTGTTGTTTTAACTTGCATTTCATGAATGACCAGTGATGTTGAACATGTTTTCTTATTTGCCATTTCTACTTCTTTACACTTGAGAAGCGTCTTTTCACTTCTGGTAAAAAATTTTCCCATGGTGTCAGTTGTCTCTTCGCTCCACTGGTGGTTTCTCTTGCTGTTCAAAAGTTTCCTCTTTTTTTTTTTGTACTGGGACTCGAACTTGGAACCTTGCACTTACAAGGCAAACAGCAACACCACTGAACTAAATCCCCAGCTCATAAAACTTTTTAATAAGATGAGGTCCAAGTTGTTGATTCTTTGTAGTATTTCCTATGCAGTCTGGGTTTTGTTCATGAAGTCTTTGCCTGCTCCTATGTCCTCAAGTGTTCTATCTTTCTCTCCCAGCAGATTTAGTGTTTTTGTTTTAATATTTAGATATTTGATCCATTTTTATTTTAAGTTAGTACATGGTAAAAGATACGAGTCTAGTTTCAACCTTCAGTATGTGGAAAGTCAGTTTTCCCAGCACCATTTATTAAACAGGCTGTCTTTCTTCCAGTGAAGGTGTTTGACTCCATCAAAAATTAGGTGGCTGAGTATGTCCAGAGTTGTTTCTACATCTTCTAGTCTGTTCCACCGATCCTTACGTTTGTTTTTTGGGAAATGTCTTTAACATGTACCCATTAATGCTCTAATAATCTAATAATGACCTCTGTCAAGTAAATGAAGTTCCTCCAATGAACAAGTCTTGATTCCACCACATAGCCTGTTAGCTTCCTCTTTGCTTTGGATATCTTCACACTTTGACAAGGATGCCTTCTACATTTTCTTCCAAAAGCTACTACACAGAGTAGGGTCTAACACAGAACTCTAATGCAAGTGCATTATGCAAGCTACTCAATAGAAACCCTGTGACCCGCCACCAGTGGACTAAAGAACCAATCAAACTGGAGCAACCTTTTCATCTAGATGGGCCATAATTCACTTTTAATACCTACAAATTCCAGATATCAGAATAGGCAACCATAAGTAAACATTTTAGAAATACAAAATACAGTGGAACTTTGCTGGTAGTTCTCTAAAGCCATCATGTTCCACTGGCTACCATATTTCCCATCTGGGTACCAATGTAATAAAAATAGTGTGTAATATCCAATGATCCTAAAAGTCTACATTATATAAAACTAGAACCAACTTTTCTAGTTTATTATTAGTATCAATTAAAGTTGAACTTTTTAAAATGTTCCCAAACCCTATCAACAAAAAAAGAATACTGTGTTTTACAGGCTCTAGTGGGAAAAAAAAGAGCCCTGCAATAGATAGGTACCCAACAGAGAGGGGAGAAAAACACACAAAAAAATTGAACTTCCTACTTTTCAGATCCACAAAAGCTATGTTATGCATCAATAATGAAAAGCAGCCTTTTTAATCAATTTCTGTCTCCATAATTAAAAACTATAAAATGAAACTTTCACTGTAAAGAAGTTTGAGCTGTGAGTCCAGATGAACAAACCTTTAGGGCTAATTTATGTGTGGCCGAGCTCCAGATATCTCTTTCTTCCATTAACTGTCTAATATCAGCCTCCATCCTTCCTCTTTGTAATGTATATAAGTTGTGGTACTCTTCTACAATCCTAGAAACAAAATTACGAAACAGCTATACAGACAAATTTTTAAAATCTTTCCTACAAAACAGGCAATTTATTCCCTTAAATTTTGGTATGATTCCTGGATATATTGAAACCATATATACTAAAATAGAATAAAAATATTCAAATTTCAATTCTAAATCTTATAAAGTCATATGAAAGTAAAAAATCCAGTATAATATTCCCTGCTCCAAATACTTGTCATCTTAGTCCTTTATTGAATAGAATTTTTCACTATATCTAATAAAAATTTAGGAAAACAAACAATAATAATGTAGCTTTTTTTATTAAGCTTCTTTGCTCATAGACTTAGGGTTCTTTATTAAAGATATAAAGCCCAGTAACTATGAGCCACCAATTTTTTAAATTATACATAATTGTTACAAGATTAAAAAGAAATCTCTCCTAGCTATCCAAAGACTTACATATAATTAAGTACTTTTTAAAACTTCTTTTTAAACTATTACTTATTAATGTCTATCAGAGCATATCTTTCCCCATTTTTTTTTTTTTTTTTTTTTTTTTTTTT